CAGTTGTCAACTGATGATTGAAAGTCAAAAGTAACTAGCGATTACAGTGGTCTTTGTTTTGCTTCCCTACTCTATTCACATTCGCAACAATCAGATGACAAATTGAAATCAATCGTGACCTGTCCATTCACCTCCTACATCACTTTAGACTGCTTTTTTTTTCTTTGGAATATAATTTTTAATTTTCCTTGAATGTCAATTTCGTTTTTACAACATTCACAAAGCGACCCAAGATAGCGGACTGATAGGAGAGATTGAAAGAATTGTTGCCGTGTTCAATTTTGATTAGTGCAAGATTCAGAGAGTTGAAAGAGGCCAAGAACTAGTCCGAAATGTTGCAGCGATGAAAAATATTTTAAACAAACGTCTCATTAGCATTTTTTATTGAAAATGCTCTGATGTCTGTGACGACAGGTTTTCACTCGACGAACAATTAATGTGACTGATGACCACAAGTTTGGTGATTCGCTTGTTGGAGTTATCACTTTCCAGTGGATAAACTCCAGGCAATAGGAAAGATTTAGACCATCCAGAACAGAACAGGTGGGTTAAATAAGTTTTTGTTTTTTTAATGACGAGTCAGTGTAGTTTCTCATTGAAAAAAATACATATATTTTCTAAGACGTATCAGTAAAATGAGGGCAGCAATGGGGTAGCCGAGACATCAGACTGAGAGGGAATGAATCTCTTCGAATATATGATAAGTGAAAATCAGGCTAAGTTTGATAAAATATTAAAAATATTGGGAGCTTATAATGTTTTTATCGCCTGCCACAACACACCGTTAGAAATAGTTTCTGAACAGTTTTTCTTTAGCTATTTTTCACACGTCACCATGCAAAATGTGGCATTTCATTTCATCTTTTCCCCGAAGTCAGCAAACAAACTCCCATTAGTCCTGAGACTCGTGTTTGATATTTGAACCAACAAATCATGGACTGTTTGTTTCAATAAGCAAGTCCGACACAATGATGAGAATCCTTTACAAAGAAATAATTACTTGATATCTATCTCTAAACTTATGCTGATATAAGCGACAGTGACATGAAATTTTTGTGGTTTACAAAAACTTGTCGAGTGTTCGATTTTAACTCGCGAAAAATAGATAGAACGGCAAGTTTGATTGAAAAATACAATGAATAAGGTATTGACATTTCAGAAAATTGTCCCTTTCTTATTGAAGAGATTTAGGCCCAAGAGGACGACAAATGAATCGTAAAAGAACTCTCTGGGTCTTCAGTGTCAGCCCTTTGAGCAGTACAAGTTGATTCTTTTTTTTTCAACGTTTTTTTTATCATTTGCAATTAACAGGAGAGAATTTTCTATTATCGTGATTTGTCTACTTTTAAGTGGATAAACCCTTAAAAGCATTAACAGAGGCAAGAGCAAAAGCAGAGCTTCAGTGGATCACAGTTTCTCTAATATTCTTTTCTATATATATCGCCGAAACAAAACATCAACTAAGTGGCAGACAAAGGAGTGTCGGATAAGAAGTGCTATTTCATTAGCGCGTACTACTCCGGCCGAATGAAATGTTGCTCTAAACCCCAACAGGATTAGACTACGAGCAGTCCTTCCTTTACGGCAAAGTCCGTCGCGCGAGTAAAGAATTTAGCGAAAAAAATTGATGTTAGCCCAACGTGTGAAAGTCTGAGAGCTTCACTTAAACAGTACTGAGAAAAACCTCCAGAGTGCTGTTATGGAGTGAAATCCTTGTTACTTTGTTGATTCGTGCAAACTTTTCTTATTATTTCGACCGTGCCTGTGCTCGCAATAAGCTCGATACAGATGGATAAATTTAGTAAAAGCGCGGATAGTAAAAGAAGTTTGGAGACAACTTGCTCTTCAAAACAAAATATCGAGTCTAGCGATTTATGATTTGTTTTGCCTGGACTAGTTCAGAACTGCGGGTGAACCGGAGATTTGGGTTAAAAAATGAGGAAATAAAACTCTTTCAATAAGCTCATCGCTATCTGTTTTGTACACAGTTACGATAGGGTCTCAGTGGGCTGATGGGTCTTACGATTAATTTCTTTCCGCTACAATTAATAGGAAAAATTTTCAGGTTAACTTTTTTTTAACGACTAACGGTTAAAATTTGAGACCCTCTTGAGAAGATAGACTAAGGTTTTAGGGGATTGTCTTCCTGGTCAACTGTGCATTACTATAGGTTCAGCGCAAACCCCCTCCCCTCCCCTCCGGCAGGGTTTGCTCAGCTTTCGCCCTAAAAGCCTGTTTCCAACAAAAATAGAAAAATGAAACGGGAAACGAGTGGTAACCCATTTATTCATGGTTTGTGCGCCATTATAATGTACATTTTTTGATGGTCAATTGGATGTTTACCTCCTGCCACTGAGGATTTGATTATGTTTTGTCTGATTTGAGTTACCTCTTCGCAAATACTTTGATTGAATTCGAAGAGCTTTCAAGATAGTCGAGGAGAGTTGAGAAAATACGCTGAAGTTTATACAATAAGGCCACAACATTAAGCAAAATCGACCAGGTATGTTTTACCAAATAACATTGTTTCAATCATAGAACCGTTTCCGTGTAAATCAATTTCATGGCTAAATTTACATATAACTCAACGTTACAAAAGCTAATGACACAAGAACTTCGAAGATTGATGGGCAAAGCTTAAACTCAGTAAGAGGAAGGTCATTAAAAAAATCAAAGAAATTTGAGCTGTATTTTTGAAAAGAAGGATCGTGTAAACTCGCCGTTTCTGGTTAACCCCCCTTAATCGCCACAAATATGCCTTTCACGTCGTTATTGCTTTGTTGTGAGTCGGATGAAAGATTTTAAAAACCCATTCCTACCTTTTATTTATTCATTTGACTTTGCCAAATATCTTTGTTTGCTGATTATATGAATGGAAAAACGAGGGAAAAACAGTAAGGGAAAGTCATGGCGTTGGCCGGTATATATCGGGCTATTTTTAGCTTTGGGCGGAAAGGGAAGTCTTACCCCTGACGTCTGCATCGTTGTTTCCTAAAGAAGTTTATTATTTCTGAATTTCAATTCAAGAAACCGATATCGTCGCTGTTCGCCAAGTTATCGATGTAGCTCGCAGGTGATCAAGGCTCACTGAAAGAGGAAGGAGGTTTTTCATTTAGCGTGAGTGAAAGGCAGCATATGTATGCAAAACGTAAAGCGATTTGCAATAACGCAATTAAATTATAACCGTATGAATTCCCGTCCCATTATTTTCTCTTGATGAATAATGTTTGGTTGTCCACTGGATATTTCGTTCATGGTGGATTCCAGCGTTTAGTATCATGTCTTCAAGCTCAATCTACGCTCCTACACTAATTCTCCTGTCCTCTTTGGTGTTTATCACTAACTGTCCGAGAGGGAAGTAAATAGGATTATATAATAAGTGCTTCATTTACCTTTTTTTCGGTCAGGCACCCAACCTCTAAAAGTGCCCACCCTGTAGATAGCTAATTTTAAGTTAAAGAGCGCTCAGCTTCGAATAATCTGGAGTGCACCAGAGGAGTATTATTTACTTTACTGGCTCGCAATCTCTAAATTCACTTTCCCATGAACATCTTCAAGTTCTGTTATTATCTATAGTTTTGCTGCAAAATAAATTTTTTATTAGAAGAAAATGGTGAAAATTGAAGAGGCACTCAGCCTCGAATAAGCGCCTACTCTCACGGTTCAGAACTTTAACAACCGTTCAGGGCATTTAATCGAATAAGTTCGGTAGCAACAAGAGACGTCCAAACGGCCCAGTATAGTTAATGAATACAGCAAAGAGCTCTTATTTACCTTTGAAGAACTGTCAAAAACATGATGTCATCATTTGATAGAGCGAATGCTAACGATTTGATGTTCTTTTTGTCATGTATATGAAGACGGCAGTTTTTGCTTGAGTAAATAGATCAAAATATCTTAGTACATCACGTACAGTAGCTGTATAGTGGAATAAAATAGGTCTTCTAAGATGAAGAAATGAGCAAATTTTATCCTATGGATATCGAAGATAGCGTTGAATGGTAATTTTGTTGAGGCTACATTTCGATTCACCGTATCGCGCATGTGTTAATAAGGTATTTTTACTTCTCTTTCTGTGAGGCGGAAGGACATGTCAATGTTATCAAAAATAGAGAAAAATTATTGGAATTCTTAATAAGGCTGGTGCTACTTTCATTGTTCTCTAGAAGGATGTCTTTAACTTGAAAAGAATAAGCTTATAATTTTCCAAATGATTTTTATTTTTCTCCGTACACATAATACGCTGTCAGTTTTCATTAAACCTCTATCGTTAACTTAGTTTCTAGCTTTGATGTAGCGTCAGAGTTTAACTGGCAGTGTCAGCTTTACTTGCTTTTTTTTTTTCCCTATTCATTATTAAAATGAGCCCACCACTTGACTGTATGTAGAAAAAATCTAATTTAAATTTCATCCCTAGTTTTATTTACAGTTTCTGAAATGATCAGAAAGGTAGCGAAATATAAGCAACTCTGTGTGAGTTATACTAAACAATGATTTCGTTTTAAATGAAATTACTTTTGGTATTATGTCTTTGAATGGGGCCTTTTAGCCATACAAGAAAAGCGCCTGTGACAATCTTAGGATATTTGCCTTAGTGACCAGAAGAACCCCTTTTATTTACATGAATTTTTTATTTAGAGCAACGGCAGATAGTACATGTTATTCAAATTGCTTTAGGAGCAGAGCGCCAGGTCAGACAGTTATACCCAGAAATTAGCAGTCACAGTTTTTTTCTTGTGAAACAAACAAAGTTTTACACCTTTCCCGAAGATTTCAGAAGAAGCCCTCACATATCTGAACTTATCAGTGCTGCTTGTGACACTGGATCCTTCGACATCCGGGGTAAATGTTACAAAACAGATCAAGTTCTGTTTTTGGATTTTCATCAGTTTGTTATCATGGATATTGCCGGCAGAGCCACAGATTAAATTATTTTCTTTTCTTGCATAATAATATTTTTTTGTATTTATTTTAGATCCCTAGAAGCATTATCTACTCTGATGAAGAATGGTCTTAACCGAGATGAATTTAACTCTTACATCAATGTTGGTAAGACTTTTTGTGTGATATAAAACATAGGTCGTTTGAAACAGTTTTTCCTTATTATTGTAGCGGTTGACGGCAGCTGTTACAAAGAGTCTGATTAATGCTTTCAATTGCCAGGAAAATGCACAATTTTTGTCGTTTCCTGTGCTTAGTTAATTTTTGGCGGTATATTGCGCAATGATTTATTACAGCTTTAGAGAAGTTGTCGCTTTTTTAGAATCTTGTTTAAGAAGGATATATAGAATCTATATATATATATATATATAGACGTATTCTTGCGCAATGGAAAATTATTATTAAAGCGAAGAGATTCCAAAACAATTGATTTGAGAAAGACACCAAAATGGACACCAAAAAGAAATGGAAAAAAAATGCCAGTGGATAACAAGGATTAAAAGGGATTACAGATGAACAATTTGAAAATCTGGCTCATTTGTGCGGAGGTTTAAAACGCCAATGTTGATCTGCAGATCATGTTATCGGAGAGAGTTTTTGAAATACACTTCAAGCTTTTAACACCACACTTCATTCGGCCCACGCACTCTTCTCAAAGTTTCACAAAAATGATTTTGAATTGAGAAGTAAATACAATGAAGTTTTCTTTGAGCCATTTGGGTGTAGCCCTAATTACTTTTCGTAGACTCGATGTCTCCTGATTAAGTTACATAACAGCAGGTATACTGCTGAGTGAACATATTCGACACCCACTGGAAGTAGGAGCTCCGGAAAGTTTAAGTATACCAACAGAAAAAATTCTTAATAAAGAAAAAGAAAACAAAACAAACAAAACAAGTAAAAAATTTGAGTAAAACAAAACATAAATAAGAAAGAGGGTGTCGATCTTAGGAGAACTTAACCATGCTTAAAGCAAAGAGTCCCACCAAGTTTTCTACAGTTCTGACTTCTTCATTTAGTTTCCTTTCAAAAAATATCCAGAATTTTAAGCCTCCCAGAAAAACTATCACGTCGTCAACCCTTTTCGCTGGCTAAAATTTCGCATTTTGTTAGCCTAAAATGCATTTTGGCCTTTTTACTCGCGTGATCGTTTATAGGCTGTTTTGCTGTCTCAGCACTTTGCTGTTGGACATAAATATGCTTTGGGCACTGAGTCGAGCTCTAAACTTACTTATGCACGCTAACATAGACTATATTGTTTTATTACAGTCAAATTTGTAACTTATCCTCTTAAAGAAACAAAAGTTTAATTACTCTGGCTTAACGGTTTGCGTGCGGGACTATAAGTTTGTAAGTACTCCTAGCGTTTCCTGCTGCGGAACCAAGTACTAACGCTGCTCTGACACCTAAATTTCGCTCGAATTCTGCTCTGCATACCGAAAACGGAACCTAGCTTTGAGTCTCGTGATTTGCACAAACTTACAAACAGACACACAAGGGACAAAGACAAACCTTTATAGCAATATTTACGTATTCATCATCATATTCAAATGTTGATTCTTCTTACTTTGGAAAAGATCTCTTATGAAATATTCAAGATAGAATACGTGCTCTCATTAATTTGGTCCAAGGGTGTATTGATATAAGAGTATGTAAACACCGTTGTCACGTCACACTTTCTATTCTCTCTTATCAAAAATATTTTATAAAATTAAAGCAATGGCAGATTAAAAAAATTCAGGTTTGGGAAAGTCATGCAAACCCATGAAAGTTACATAACTCCTCGAATTTTCCCAACCCTCCTAGAGTTTAGATGAGGCTATGCAAAAGTCCTCTGTTGCGCGAATATCAATCGAGATATCGTTTGATGTAAAGGAATTATGCAAGCACATCTTAGCTAATGGTCATATCGGTTTCAACTCGTCTCCCATTTGCTTTGTACTTGGGTTTAAAATTTTTCATCCAACTACAGAACAAAAATCACTGATGTAAAGAAATTTTCAGTTTTACTTTACTGTTCACTAATAGATGCCGCAAAAATACCTCACATAGCTAACAGAACGCTCATGTCGAAAAATTGCGACTTTTTATATTGGAAATTCTGTAGGCGTAAATTAACGTGGGCTCCGTTATTAATTCATTGCGATTCTAACACCACATATTTTTAATTAAACGCCCACCTTGAATGAGCATCCACTTCCCAACTGACTTTAGAAACAATGAAATTCTATTATTAACTGAGTAAAAGCCATTAAGATATCTCACCTAATACCGAAATTTCTTATAAATTTAAATAAACTTCTAAAGGAATGGTTAAATTCTATTTTGCGACATTCTCACGTTTTGTTAGTACTTCTGGTTTAGTTGCAAAATAAACTCACTATTTCTTGAAAATGGCGTAAATTTAGTCAGCGCACAGCCTCAAATATAAGCACCCACCACGACAAAGCGCCCACTTTCAAGATCTAAAATTTTAAAAAGCCCGCAGGGCTTGATTGAATAAATGCGGTATATCGTTAAACATCATTTCAAATTCGAGAGCAAGAAACAGTCAGCTTTTGTAACAAACAGCTGTTATGTCGGATAAAAAAAACCTTTTTTTTTTATCTTTTTCTATGTAGATTCTTTTGTGCGTTGTCAAATTTAGTCCCGGCGGAAAAGGAATGTTTATATCCGAGACAGACTTCAAGACGGAGAATGAAGGTTGGTATGTCCCCTCAATATCATTCAGGTTGTTTCTGTCTATTTTTTTAGTTAGACCTCATAGGTGGTAAGATATGATATTTATATTTAAGGTAATTAGTTCAAGTGGTGGGCCGGTAGTTGGCAGACCACAGGGAAGACAATATTGAACTCCAGGAATCGTTCTATCAGCGCTCTCTTTATCAAAATTTTGAAAAGTGAAGTATAATTTCGTATATAGCCACCGTTTCAAATTGAAGCAATTGGCTACTTTTTTGTGATTTTCTTGGGTTTCGTTGCTATTATAAAGCAAGAACTTTCTTCGAAGAATTAAACCAGATCGTAAATTATAAAGGTCTCATACCGAGTGGCAACCATTGATATCGAAAGATTCATCAGAAATAGGAAACCTAAGTTGAGTGCTCCCTAAATTAGAATATAGTGGTTTGTTCTGTGGAAAACATCAGATGGGGGATGTAATATAAGCATCCCCTATTCCTTTTCTTTTTCTTCCTTATCGATTACGGAATCCGTTTATCGTTCCTCCAGTCCGTTCGAACCTATTTAGGTCTGTCTGTTTGTGTGGCCCGCAAGTCTTTCTCTCTTCCTTACTCTTTGCCGCAGGATCAGAGTTAAAATGACTTAATTTAGGATTCGTTTTGAGTGTATTTTAAAGCCGACCAATGTACTTTTTTGAAAGTTTCCATTATTTGACAGAGCGAGCACCGAGGAAGACTAGGGCAGAGCCTGAATCCGAACCGGAAAGCGAACCTGAAGCGGAAGGAGAATCCAAAGCAGAAGGAGAACCCAGTAGTGAAAATCACTCATACACGGAGCCTACCTCAGAATATCCAGAAGGAGAAACTGAACCGTCGCCAACGCCGGAAAATTGGCCAGAACCAGGCCCCCGTTGGGAACAAGCATACGAGACGTGGAGATGGGCCTGGGAGCTACATGTTTACCTTTACGCGACGATATACCTTTTGATTGGCTTGTACGCCGGATATTACGTCATAGCTAACGTTTATGACGGTCTGCAAGGAAAATACCTGAGCGTGAGCCTCAATATCATGGTGTCGATGTTTGGGTTCACAAGGGCCCTTGTCATGTTTTTGGACCCATATCATCAAGGGGGTATAATTCACAACACTGCAGTGATGCGCGTGATTTGGTCCCTCGCAGGCCCTTGTCTCACGGCCTCCGACAGTTTGATGATTCTTGCCCTGATAGAGACGGCAAAAATCTCCGTTGCACCTCCTAAGCTTCAGAAAGCAAGCACAAACATTATTATCATAAGCTTTCATTTTGCACTTGTAATAACTACAGACTGTGTAGTTGCCGACTATGTGGAAGCGAAAGTTATGTTGTTATTTTGTCAGTTGTTTTTTGTTACGTGGGGTTTTGTGCTTGGAACTATAAACTTTATCCTTGGATACAAACTGGATAAACAACTTTTCAGTCACAAAAAACCAAAAGAAACAGCGGACAAAATATACATTTATCTTATTTACGCCTCCGGCCTAGCAAACTACTTTTTATGCGCAATCATTGTTTATTCAGCGTGCGGAGTATTTGGTGTTTATTCAGATGTTCAATTTGTAGATGCATGGCCTTGGTGGGCCTTGCAAACGATGTCTCGCTTCAGCGAGATCCTCGCGTGTGTCTTGATATTCACAGTTAGTGCTAAAAGGACCCGAGTGAAAAAGGCAGTCGCTCAGTTAACGGATGAAAAAAGCTTAGACACAATCATCCCGGGAGGAATCGGTTCTACGCAATCTTTATCGTGGTCTTCAAGATTCAGAAATTGCTTCAAGCGTAAAAGAGTCGCCGCTGACAGAAACAGTGGGAGTGCAATAAGCCTATTCACAGCTCTCCGTGAAATGGCTCTGGCTGCGACCGGTGAGAACTGGTACGGGACAAATCTGGATCCCCCAATGAAAGATAATGGGGAATGTTGGGTAGAAACAAAAACGACTTCGTCTGTAATTCATCTGCCTGGGAAAACGAAAATACATCCACATGTAAACACAACTGACGACTTAGGGAGCGATGGCGAAGAAGTGGAAAAGGAGTACTTAGAACTTGAGTTAAGACGCGTACAATCAAGAAGAGCGAGCATGTTTACAGCTCTTCACGACGCTAAAAAGACGCGTAACACGGCCTTTCCACCCGGAAAAATGACTCGGCTAAAGCCATTATTCCAAACTGATAATTCTGGAGAAACTAGCATCAAGGAGATTGACTCGAAGAGACAAAACTCTGGAAATACTTGGGGCAAATGGCCGGAAACAACACTTCCAAATATGGCAAACACGGAAGAAAATTACTGAACAGTAAACGATTCTTCTCGGAGGGCAAAGGTCACATGATGATCGAGAAAATCAAATCTCTTTTTCCATACGCACCATTAAGTAACAGGAAGGCTGGCAAGGTTTTTCTGCACTGATCGATTTTTTGTCATACGTAAATAACATTACAATTATGAGAATTTTCTAAGCTAGGGCTTCAGATGCGTATCGTGTTGTCTACATGAATACTATGCACAAAGTTTTGATATTACACTTATCAGGGTTAAAATGGAATTCTAGCAAGTCGTTTTAAAGGGTTTTATGCCCCAGTAACCATATGATTACAAATCATACTACAAAAATATACTACTCACAACCTTTCGAGATTTCGATGATTTACTTAACCTTTCGAAGATTGTTCTCAGGTGCCCTAAAGATTCAAACGAATTGAACGCAATTCAGTAGGCTTGCAGCACACCCATGGCGGTAGTGTGCCTAGAAAAATTATGTTTTGACTAAAATGTGTCCCTATGTATGGTTCCTGATTGTTTGAATAGATCACCTTACCAAGGGATAGAAAAAGAGTATTGAGACTCAAATCAGGTCGTAGGTAGGCGACCAAGTTGCTAAGCAAGATTCAAAATGGCCGCCTCTGAAGCAAATTTCAGCGCATTTCAAAAGATTTTACGCTAATTGAAATCAGGAGGTGGAAATTTGAATGATTTCCCAAAAACATTTTTGATGATGTAAATACAAATGATATGGTCTCCTGAGCATACTTATCTCTTCGCCCAACATCTGCATCTTTAATTGAAGGCAGTGCTTTGCGATGGGTTATTTGTACCACATGCAACCAAATAAATCCGGTTTTATTGCCATATTGCATAAGCATTCACTGCTTTTGTTAGTGAGTCATTATTACAAAATTATCCCCTGTGGCAGAATGAGCGTTCACATGACCTATCAGTTTCCAGAGTTCACGGTCTTGGATGGCAGCATAAGGAGACAAAATCGAGTTATGCAGTAATGACCAGACCGGTTAGATAGGTTAGATATGTCGCCAAGCCACCTCTTTCACTATTCTCTTCTGCTTCTGTTACCAGCAACCTTCCCTTCGAGACATACTTTTGATACTCCTTATTTACTTCGTATGATGTTCTTATGAAGTAATAGTGTACCTTTGACTAAAAGAAGGACTGGGGCCATACCAATTGTATATAGACGGGTTTGCATGCTCATGTGATGCGCGAGACGCGCAGATAACGCGCATAACGTGCATGATATATGTTAGCGTGTAGGATGGATAAAAAAGAGAGCTCCAAATTCCCGCGAGATCCACTGTCTCTCAGAATTTCAATTCCGAGGAGAAGCGTTTTTTTACAGCATTTGAAAATTTAGCAAGATACAGTAATTTGTATGAAAATCATCACTGTGAGAATGGGGTGCAAATCTTATTCCTACCATACAAATCATTGTAATTGGTAAAATTCATCCACAGAAACTACTGCTGAAGCAATTTATATTAGCCTGAAAATCATTTTCAGGCTAATTATAAGTGAAATTAAAGGGTTAAGTAAAACACTGAAAGTACTCAGCTCAGAAGGCATAAGACAATGATTCTAAGAAGAATGTAGGTGTCACGCTTTAAAAGTACATTTTCAGACATGGGCTGAGAATATTTCAGCAATGGACATTATTAATAAGCATAACTAGAATTTATAGGGCTCACATATATGCATGATCAAATATGCTGCTCTGAAAATAAAAAATTAAAATTAAATAAAAAATAAACATTTTTTATGATAATGGCAGCTAACTAAAATCATTATAAAGTTACCTTTAGATCATTAACAAAACCTTACAATTCCCTAAAGAAGATAAAAACACTACATTATTGGAGACAACAAACTGAAAGCTTGGCTCAAAAGGTAAGTTTTGAGATTACGCTTAAAACCAGATACAGGTCGGTGATGTCACTTAGTAGACTATTCCTAAGGGTAACAGTCTCAATCGCTCTGACGAAGGGCCAACACTCGAAACATCAGCTGTTAAACTCTTTACAATGACCAATTTACCTCATCAACTCAGTCAATAATACTAAATTACCATGTTATACTCTCCCACCGACGCAGCAGAAACTTACCCCCTTTATTCCAAAGGTTCAATCACCATGGAATATGACCTCAGCAAGTTGATAAAGAAGTTATAAGATGTTAATTGTCAGGTGTGAGATCAATTTGGACAAAAGAAAAATGTTTTTGAACTAAGTCTACCCTCTGTGTCTACATGCAATCTGCATTTGGGAATATATATAACGGCGTAATATGTGACTAACAGTTTATATACTGCAAGATTTTACGCCACTATCTGCGTCGGTAGATTAATTATAATAAATTAGTGTATAATTAAATTATATTACTGCCGTAAAATTTGCATTACACATATCACCGACCGGATTTTAAAATCCGTAAAATCTTACATATAAACATCACCGACTGGAAGAAATTACGCCGTTAGTTTATTAACAGGAGTACAATTTTACAGTATGTAAGTAGCGGGACTGTTTATTCTTTTTTCTATTATGTTTTAGCAAGGCCACTTTAGTAAGTGGCGCGACAAATTTTTAGTCAAGCCTGAAAAGTGACAAGGTATGGATAGCTTCTACGGGCATAGCGTTTATAACAATTTTATCTCTGTAGAGTGGTATATGTGCTCCTACGATAAACTAAGAAATTTATCACAGTCTAGTTTGAATTCGAATGTCTTGTCTTGCTTTTTTTTGTGTGAGCGTGGGTGTGTATGTGTGGATGTGTTAGGATGTGTTATCGTTCCAGTTCGCAATTTCAAGACCAGTCATTACCCACATTATCCCTTGCCATGTGAATTTAGAAATGATGCACTATCCGACATTTCACATTTAAAACACTCTTTATTAAGAAGTTTTAAGATTTTGGACAGTGCCGTGAAAGTGGTAATGAATATCACCACGTCACTCTCCCTTTTGTATTCTTTTCTATCCCGACGGCTGGGTCTTCGGCATTGAGCCCGAATATGGCCTACGGCTCCACGGTTGTAACATTTCTCTGCAAGGAAATAAAGACTTTTGTTATAATAATAGCTGTAAAAACCACGTGACCCTTCGCGCGAAATCATGAAAATTACATAGTCTCTACGATTGAATAACAGTCGTGTCTTTTGCAACGTAATTAACATGGATTGCCATTTCATTAAGAGAGGGTCACTTGTATCTCCATGCATGCGGCCATGTCCTTTTCATTAAACAAATAGGAGTGAATCACTAGAAGACCTCCTGCAAAAATGTGACATGTGTAACATGTTATTTTTACATGTGAATGCCAACGCTATGGTTACAAAGTAATTCGTAAGCAAATGAAATGGTTCGGTGTTCCCTTTACTTTTCCTTTCTGTTTGTCCGTTTGCGTGTAATTAATTTTAATTTAGGGAAAAACAATATTTCTCTCGATCACTGCTCGCACTCCCGAGACATATTCAACACTCGAAGGGATGTTTGGTATGTTAATGCGCCATGCTATATCATGTATTTTAAGTTTGAAAAATAGGCGAATAAGACTTAGGAAAACCAAATTAAACGGTTAAAAATGTATCCAACGGTAGGTAGCAGTTTAGATTACTTACTGGGACGACGTGGAGGTTGACGTGGAGGTTGCCGTAAGGGTTGACGCGGTTGGACAGTTGTCTCTCTGCGCCGTTCTGTCCTCGTGTCTGCTTCTCTCCCTTTCTCTTCTCCGTCTCTCTCTATCTTCGTCTCTTGGGTCTTCTTCCCTCTCTCTACTTCAATACGGAGCAACTCCATGGCATCATGGATGTCAACCATCTGAAAGGCAGAACCCAAATAATTCAACGTACATCCAATATTTTTTACCAAATATATAATTTTACACTGTCCGACCTTTTTCTACTTTCGAGGAATAGCACACTAAGACTGACATATCATGATTCTAGGAGATGTAAATAATTAAACTTAACTAGAGAAATACAAACAACAAAAAAAGTTTTTTAGAAAACTGAAAGGACACTTCCAGCGAACACATGGAAAAACTAGTTGTAATTGAAAACAGTGGAATCTCTTAAACTTTAAATGTACAATGAAGCTTGAATGACTCAAACTTTTCATAGTGGTGCTTTGATAAACCTTGTACAAATTAGAAAACTTGACAGACTTACGGTTTTAATTGATGCGAGTTACTTTGGAAAACTGATAAAATATCAGAATGGTGTGAGGGAGGAAGAGTTAATCGTATGATTAAAGGAAGTAAGAGAGATAAATTCTCGACACCAGAAATGCAGACGCTTCTAGAAAAGTCTCGTACCTATTCTACCGGTTCGGAGCTAATGAGGCTGAAATGTTCCGATGATTGGTGGTCAAAAGTGTTACGAAAGTCAGTAAATCTAGAGTACGTAGACATCAACTTCAACATAACTAGATGCGACTCGTTTAACAGGGTGTGGAGACAATATAAAGTTTCCGAGAAAGGTAAGGAATTTTTGCGCCGTCCGCGCAACGACCTTGTTCTCGATTCTGCAGTCGATCCTTTTAACGAGGAAAAAAAAGAGAAAGCCGCCAAAACTTACTCACACATGTCCAATACACCTGACCTGAGTCGGGTTACCTTCACCAGCAGGCGGATTGAGTCCTATTGCGACCGGAACCGGAAATGGCCGTATGGCGTTTGACTGGTGGTACCGGAAGTAAGAGGTTAACATGAGCGAGGGGGATTGAAGATATTGGCAAACAGACTCGATCAGATCCGATGGAGACAGTTTGTCCTGGCAAGAGTCGATCGAACTCCCCCGCGGTCAGTTCGTGAAAATATCTCTCATCCATGAGGCGAGACAAGGGCGCTACACTTGAAATGTACGTCATTCTTAAAGCCATGACGCGAAAAAAGCGCGCTACATATGTAACATTGGTCGTTCTTAGAGCCATAAGGCGAAACAAGCGCGCTACACATGTAACATCCGTCGTTCTTTAAGCCACGAGGCGAGAAAAACGCTACACATGAAATAAACGTCGTTTTTGGGCCATGAGGCGAAACAAGCGCGCTACAATGAAATATACGTCGTTCTTAAGGCCATGAGGCGAATCAAGCGCGCTACAATGGAATATACGTCGTCTTAAGCCATGAGGCAAAACAAGCGCATAACACATGTAACATTCGTCGTTCTTTAAGCCATGAAGCGAGGCAAACGCTACACATGAAATATAAGTCGTTCTTTAAGCCATGAGGGGGGAAAAAGCGCGCTACAAAGAAATATAAATCGTTCTTTGAGCCATGAGGCGAAGCCAGCGCGCTACAATGAAATATACTTCGTTCTTAACGCCATGAGGCGAAACAAGCGGGTTAAACATGAAAAAGTCGTTCTTTTTACAGCCCCTCCACATCCTCGACGTTGCCATGTTATCTAAGTGTCTATCTTTCTGATATTTAGCGGCACATTATTCCAAAGTCTTGTTGCTGATACAGCAAAAGAACGGCCTCCTTCAGTGTCACGCTTATAATAAGGACAGATATAATTATAGCTAGCATGCCGCGTGATCCTGTTATGTTGTGTATTGTTAATCGTCAAGTGTTCATTGAGATAGTTCGGAAGAGAGCCATTTACGCGCTTCTTAAAAATAACACATTTGTTAATTCTACTGTTCATAAAAAGGTATCCATCCCAGCTTATAGAAAGTGTCAGAGGGTGTTAGGTGGTCGGAATATGAAATGATTCTAGATGCACGTTTCTGTAATTTCAAGACTCTGAAAAGTGGTTCCTTGTCACATGATGACCAAATGACGTCAGTATAGCTCATTACTCGGCGAATAATGACATTGTTGAGCAACAGTCGCTGTTTAAGTGACAGAAAGGGCCTGATTATACTCAAAAGACCTATGCGTGAGGCAAGCTTATTGCAAAGATTTTCAACATGACAATCAAATGAGAGTGAACTATCGATTGTTAAATCTAAAAGTGTTGGACTTTTTCCATTTACGAGCCTATTGTCCTCAAATGTGACAACAAGTTCATTATTGATCTTAGACGGCAGGCGCTTTCCGGTGATCGTTAAGACTTTAGACTTTGACCCGTTGATTGGGAGTTTATTTGAGTCAGCGCAGTGACGTATTTCATCGGCGGAGATATTTAGTGAAAGTTTAAGTTCAGGTAAATTATTAGAGTGAGCAGATGCTGCCAGGGCAACCCGTCTCCATCGGATCCGAAGGAGGCCATTTGCCGACATTTTCCATCCCTTTCACTATACTCAACATTGCTATATATTCCTAAGTGTCTCGCGAACTAACACGGGGCGATGTCCGATGGTCTCTTTCCACAGCGACCCGTCTCTATCGGATCCGACGGAGTCTGTTTGCCGACATTTTCCACCCCTTTCACTACTCTACCTTACTGTATATTTTCTAAGACTATCGCGAATTGACGTGCGGCGAGTCCGATGGACTCTTGCCACGGCAATCCGTCTCCATTGGATCCGACGGAGTCCGTTACCGACATTTTTCACCCCTTTCACTACTCTACTTTGCTGTATGTTTTCTAAGTATCTAGCGAACTAACACGCGGCGAGTTCGATATACTCTTGCCACGGCAACCCGTCTCCATCGGATTTGATGGAGTCCGGCCGTTTGCCGACATGTATTTCCACCCAGTCCGCAACTCTATACTTTCTAAACTCGGACTCAGTTTGGGTGTATTTGTATTTGGGTGTATTGGACAACCCAAACTTACAAGAAAAGGAGTGGACGTGGACACCATCACCTACCAAAGTTAAAGGAAGTTTTGAAGCATTCTGATACTTGGCACAAGCTGACAGACAAAGATCAATACGAATTTCCCGGATTCGAGACTGACCTACAGTCCTCACAGAAACCATTGGCCAACTTAAGAGATTGGCGCAGGTTGCCTTTTGAAGCCAATACTCGGCCACATTTTATCTGGGATGACAACCAACTGCCAATAAGAGGCTCGCAAACAACGAAGCACAACATAATTGTAGAAGGCAAGAAGACATCCTTGTACGTGAGACGGGGGCCTTGTGAAGGCGTGAAAACTTGTGCTGGCCCTGACTGTGAGTATGTGGTATCTAAAAGACAAAAGATAAATCGATGCTTACGGCACTGGGAAAATTAATCTCTTCTTTCATCTGCACCATGTAGTTTGCATATGGTCTACATATGGCCCTGCAATGACGATGGAAGGCGATGGTTGGTCTTGCTCAGGCTCTGCTCAGAAATTAAGAAATTCTATTGACCCATATTGGTAAATTCTTTGGGGGTAAAAATGTATAATCCGAAAACAAACACATCGTTATCTCTCTCAAACGAACTTCTGTTGGCTAGTGAGAAAACCCGAATAGCGACCGAATAGTGCGAAAAGTCGCGAACAGTGACGAATAGTGACGAATAGTGGTGATTAGTAAAAATAAATGAATTGATAATGAAATAAAAATATTCATTGCCCTGTTTTGTAGATTTATTGGATTCAAATGTGTATACATACTGATTGTTTGACAAAAAAAGGCATAGGGTAACATATAAATTGTGTTTCAAACATGTATGCTATCATTCTGAAATAAATAAAACAGAGGTACTACTTATCTGATTCGCAAAAAAACGTGTTAATCACCGACACCGGGATTCCTCGCGACTCCCCAAGGTTTGTTTTCCAATTTGCCTGGGCCGCTACCAATCACTTCTTGCCCAAAAACCAACGAAACCTGCGAAGTAGAACTATGGTGGCTACTGTTGTTTGCCGATATTTTCCGTCGGCAAAACGTAGAAGTCAGTAAATGTGACCGATTCTTCCCGGGAAATTTTATTATCTGGAGCTTGGATAGGTCAAGAGAGTTTCATTGACAGCTGGATTACACTCCATGATGTGAAACCACTTATAAAACCATCGCGCTTTTTCCTCGCTTTTTTTGGCACATACAAAAAGGAAAACGTGAGGCAACTGAAATATGATTCATACTAACCTGTGAGTATCATTTAGCACTGGCACAAGTCGAGTAAACAGGCACACGCATGACTTCACAGAGGAGGATCGAAAACAGGAGTTGGCGATATTTTCTATAACAATTATAGTCCAGTGTTTAAGTGCCAGTTTCGCATTCACATGACAAAAAGTTAAAGTACTAATGGTCTGCCTCCCCCCCCCGATAAAATGGTCCAAAAAAATAGTCCAAAAAATGCTCCAAGAAATGTTCCAAGAAATGCTCCAAAAAATAGTCCAAGGGTCCAATGATCTAGTCCATATGTTACCCTATATCTTTTTGTCATATAATCGTTATATACACACATTTGAATCCAATAAATCTATGAAATAGGGCAATAAATATTTTTATTTCATTATAAATTCATTTATTTTCACTATTCGTCACAATTCGCGACTATTCGGTTACTATTCGGATTTTATCACTGGCCACTTCTGTTGCAAAGCTAGACACCGTACCCCTTTCGACACCAAATTTAAAGAAATGGTTCTCAACACTATAATTCTTCTCTCAATTGCTGTAACATACAAAGATAAATGAGGTAAATACTTTCCACCCATCATTAGGGGTGGAAAGCTTGTGCACTTCGGGACCTTAGAGATTTATAGGAACGCATTAGTAATTTAACAAAATTCTTCTATATGTAGGAAAAATATTGAAGGAAATGAGTCTTGTTCGCAAAAAATCCTAAAAAAATATTGGATGTCGATTACAATCCTTCGCTTTATTTAGCAGTGCACTCATGCCTTGCTGCAACGTTTTTTATTTCCTTTGATGAAAAATGCATTACTCGAAACAGTAGCTGCCTTGGAATGAAAAGTTACATTCTCAATGCATAAAAATTGTAAAATTTATCTTTAGAGCTCAAAGGTATTGTTCTGTTTTTTCGATCCAGTCTGTTGTTTTGCATTCCCGGCCTCTTTAAACTATTTAGACTTAATTTTTCTTAGCAACAGTTTAATGTAACAAGTATGCTCCTACAGTGTAAGTATTATATCCATTGTTAGAGGAGGACGTGTTTGCATTTGTTGGTTAGAAAAATCCGCTTTCATAAGCTAAGTACTTTCTCTAAACAAACCGCAAAAACTCTTCGGATAAAAGCAAAAATAAACTAAAACACAATAAAATCCTATTAACCTGTACTAACAGATCCCTTCTTCAAATCGTTTCATTTGAATGTAAGAACCAAGAATGGCCTTGATTTTGCTGCATAAGTGTCGACGTCTCCTGTTTTTGCTAGTAAACGGCTTAAGTGCCAAAAGAAACATCTTGCAATCTCTCAAGTGAAAACTCCTTTTGAAAAGCTCACAACGATTAAATTCATCCGATATTTAATGAAAATATTGCAGAATTCTAAAGCAACGGTCGACAATCTTACTCATTCTAAATGTTCTGTTTCGACGCAGACTGCTGGCAGAGACACGTATGGTGATGTTTGTGGAAAGTATGTAGTAAAACCAACTGAAAATCTCTCTTTCAAAACGTTATAATCGGCAACATGGGTGCAATTAAAAAATGGCTTATCTCTATGAAGTCCAAGTTACATTCATCAATATGATAAGCGTAAAACAATAGTTACTGCTTTGTAGAATTTTCAGGATATAGTTCA